GGGGGGGAGGGTTACGGGACTCTGTTTTTGCTCCTGTAAGTGTGTGTGGGAGGGGTGTGTTGTGTACAGATAGATTCACATTATTATAGGGGAAAGACTATCTGCTTCATGCGGGCCTTTCAACTGGCGCGATCGCCTGCTTCTTCGGTCGCAGTTGCTGTTGTTGGCGGCGGCAGTACGCTCGGCTGGCGCACCGTCGCGGGTCCTTCAGCGCTGTACCGCATGGGGTGTCGAAGCCCCACTGTTTCCCTGCAGAAGCCGCAGCAGCAGCAGCAGTGCGCCTTGTGTTGCCAACACCGGGCGATTGGGCCGCGTCAGTATGCACCGAGAGGATTCCGTGAGGCCGCGGGTCGTGCCCCAATGACGTTTGAGTTCGGTGAGGAGTGCAACGACCTTGCCAAGGTGGCACATCAGACAAAGAACTACGGCGACGCGATCAGTCTGTACGACCGCGCACTGACAATGCGACGCGAGAAATACGGCCCCATCCACCCCAAGTGTGCGGCGACGCTGCACAACATTGGCCGCGTCTTCCTCGACATGCGGGAGCCTGGCGCTGCGGAGAATGCGCTGACAGAGGCTGCCGCCATCTACGAGGAGACGGAGGGGAAACAATCGGTGCGGTATGCCGAGAGCCTCGCACTCCTCGCCCTCGCTTACACACACCTGAACTTCCTCGATGAGGCGGAAAAGGCGTTTCGCGAGAGCATCAAGGTATTCCGTGACACGTCATACAACCATGCTGCGGGCTCGTGGCTACCGGATGAGGCGGTCGGTGATGGCTCCTCTTCGTCGTCTGCTGCTTCTGCGGCAGCAATTGCGGAGCCGCAGAAACACCCGCTCGCGTCCGCCGCCCACGCCCTCGCCGACTGCGCGCAACTGTTCCTGTTGCAGGGGCAGGAGTCCAAGGCGATCGCGTTCCTCGAGGAGGCGTTGGAGATACGCCGCTACCTGTACAGCCGTCATAACAAGTACCGCCCCATCATTGCCCAGACACTCAACAAGCTGTGTGAGCTCAAGAAGGCGATCAATGACGCTACAGGGGCAGAGATGTGCATCAATGAGTGCCTCGAGATTTGCGTCGCAACACTCGGCCGGGACTCCCCCGCCACAGCCCAGGCGACCAGCAGCAAGGCTGCGCTGCTCGCCGCCCGCCGCCAGTTCCGTGAGGCGCGCAAGCTCTACGAGGAAAGCACCACGACGTACGCCATTGCACTCGGTAAGGACGCTGCACTCTTTGGTCTTGAGCTGATAAAGCTGGGCCGCATCCAGGAGCTATGCGACGACTACGCCACTGCGCAAAAGACGTACGAGCGCGGCATCGAGGTGATCACGAAGGCGCTCGGCCCCGACGCGCTGCAGCTGGCGGAGGCCTACACCTTCCTCGGCTCGCTGCTGGTAAAGCGGCAGGAGTTGGACCGCGCCATTGACCTCTTCCGCGACGCGGTGCGGCTGCGCAAGGCGAAGGACCGCAACGACCCGCAGCTGGCGTTTTTGTATCAGAAGCTCGGTGACGCGTACGCAATGCGGCGCGAATCGCACGCCGAGGCGTACTTCCTCCTCGCGATCGAGCAGTTCCGCGTCAACGCGCGGGTGGAGCCGCTGCAGCGCACCTTTCTCACCGACGTGCTGGACGACCTCGGGCTGCTCTACCTCGAGTTTCACCACCTTGAGAAGGCGGAGAGCTGCCTGAAGGAGGCGCTCGACACACGCATTGAGATGCTCGGCGAAAACCACGCCACGGTGGCGTACTCATACAGTAACTTCGCGCTGCTCTATCTGCACCGCGAGGACTTCGCGAACTGCGAGAAAATGTGCAAGGCGGCGCTTGATATGTACGCCAAGACGGCGCGGTCGAATGTGCTCGCACAGGCCGATGTGTACACGACGTACGGGCAGTGCTGTCACCTGCAGAAGCGCTACGCCGACGCGCTGGCGTGGCATGAGAAGGCGCTCAACGTGCGCCGCACGCGTGGCGAGAACAGCGAGACGGCCACCGCGGAGTCCCTGAACCACATTGCACGCGTGTACGTGTCGATGAAGCAGTACGCACCCGCCACAAAGTACCTCGCCGAGGCAAAGAAGATTGCGTACCAGTACAACGCCGACTTCACGCAGTATTTGAGGCAGGAGGTGGCCAAGACAGAGCAGCAGATTCCACCAATGGAGGAGTGGGGCACGGAGGACCGCGCCGCTGCGACGCCGGCGCTTGCTGACAGCCAGACGGGTGGAGCAAATGGCAAGAAGGCGGACTAACAATAGCGAAAGGGACCCGAAGCAGCAGCCGGTGGTGCTGCGAGAAGAGGAAGGTGTGTGTGTGTGTGTCTGTGTGTGTGTGTGTGTTTCCTATTTATATTTCTTCGTCTCTTCCACGTCTTGCGCGAGAGAAGCACAGGTTTATTGTAGGAAGCTGCACCCGGATAAGCACACGCGCACGCGTTTATACACGACCAAGTGCAGTCATGTCGTCGAACCGCTACCCCGCACTGCCGAGCCGCATGTCACTGATTGCCTTCAAGACGCGCCTCAAGGGCGCGCAGAAGGGCCACTCGCTGCTGAAGAAAAAGGCCGACGCCCTCGCACTGCGGTATCGCGCGGTGATGGGCGAGCTGCGGGAGGCGAAGCTCGAGATGGTGCAGCAGATCAAGGGATCGTACTTCACCATCACGAAGGCGCAATTCATCGCAGGCGACATTGGCCTCGCGGTGCAGGAGTCGCTGAAGCTGCCGACGTACGCCATGAGCCTCGCTATTGACAACATCGCCGGCGTGCGGGTGCCAAGTTTCCGCGAGCGGAACGGCAGTGGCGGCGATAGCGACTTCGCCGCGGATGAGGAGGGGCGGCCGCGGGCGGTGGCGGCAGGCCTGGGTCGCGGTGGCGAGCAGGTGAAGGAGGCGCGCGTTGCCTTCCGCGAGACGCTGAAGCTGCTAGTGAAGATTGCGTCACTGCAGGTTAGTTGGGTGACGCTTGATCTCGCACAAAAGGTGACAAACCGCCGCGTGAACGCGCTAGAGAAGGTGGTGGTGCCGCGCGTGCAGAACACCCTCAGCTACATCACCTCCGAGCTCGACGAGCAAGAGCGGGAGGAGTTCTTTCGGCTCAAGATGGTGCAGAAGAAGAAGAAGCAGCTGCAGCAGAGCAAACTGCAGGAGGCACTCGCACAGGCGAGCCCTTCCAGTCGGCCAGCTGCCACTGCTGCT